TCCATTGATGCTGAAAAAAGCATTTTACAAAATCCAACACCCTTTCTTGATAAAAACTCTCAGCAAGGTGGGAATAGAAAGATCATACCGCAACATAATTAAAGCCATATATGTCAAACCCACAGCCAACATCATACTCAATGGGCAAAAACTAAAACTATTTCCCCTAAGAACAGGAACAAGATAGGTATGCCCACTCTCACCAGTCCTGTTCGACATAGTACTGGAAGTACTAGCTATAGTGATCAGACAAGAAAAAAAATTAAAGGTATCCAAATTGGAAAAGAAGTAAAATTGTCATTATTCACCGATGATATTATATTGTACATAGAAAACCCTAAAGACTCCATCACAAGCTACTAGACTTCAGAAATGAATTCGACAATGTAGCAGAATGCAAAATTAACACCCAGAAGTCTATAGCTTTTTTATACACCAATAATTATCTCACAGAAAGAGAACCTTTAAAAAATACCATTTACCATTGCAACAACAAAAAAAAAATGAGATACCTAGGAATAAATTTAACCAAGGAAGTAAAGTACCTGGACTCAAAATTACAGGACATTGAAAAAAGTGATAGAGGAAGACATAAACAGATGGAATAACATACCGTGTTCATGGATTGGTAGAATCAACATCATTAAAATGTCCAAACTACCCAAAGAAATCTATAGATTCAATGCACTCCCCATTAAAATTCCAACTGCATACCTCAAAGACCTATACCAAACTCTCCAAAAATTCACCTGGAATAAAAAAGACGCTAAAAAGATGCAACAGCCTTGAGAAAAAAGAACAAACTTGGAGGGATCACAATACCAGATATCAAGCTATATTACAAAGCCACTTTTCTCAAAACTGCCTGGTATTGGCACAAGAACAAACATATAGACCAATGGTATAGAACAGAGAACCCGGAAATTGACCCAAGTCATTATGCTCAATTAATTGATAAAGGAGGAAAAAGCCTACAATGCAGTCAAGACAATCTCTTCAATAAATGGTGTTGGGAAAAATGGACAGATACATGCAAAAAAAATGGAACTAGACCACCAACTTACACCATACACAAAAATAAAGTTAAAATGGATAAAGGACTTAAACATAAGAAGGGAAACCATAAAAATCTTAGAAGAAGCCATAGGCAGCAAAATATCAGTCATTTGTCGTAGCAGTATCTTTACTGATACAGCTCCTAGGTCAATGGAAACTAAGGAGAAAGTAAATAAATAGAACTATATCAAAAAAAAAACACACACAACACCTCCTGCACAGCAAAAGAAACCATCAACAAAACAAGAAAGCACACTCCATGGCAGAACATATTTGCCATTGTTATCTCCGATAAGGGTTTAATCCCCTAAATTTACACGGAACTCATCCAACTTAACAAAAGGAAGATATACAATCCAATTTAAAAAAAATGGGCAAAGGACCATAATAGACACTTTTTGAAAGAGGACACACAGAAAGCCAAGAGATATATGAAAACATGCTGAAAGTCAGTAATCGGTGAGATTCAAAGAATGGCTATTATCAACAAATCAACCAGCAAACAACAAGTGCTGGCAAGAATACAGACTGGTAAAGCCACTGTGGAAAACAGTATGGCATTGCCTCAAAAAATTTAAAAAATGGAACTGCCATTTGACCCAGTAATCCCACTTCTAGGAATATATCCCAAGAAATTAGAAACACCAATCAGAAAGGATATATGCACCACTATCTTCATAGCAGTACAATTTACAATAGTTAAGATCCTGAAACAGTCCAAGTGCCCATTAGTAGATGAGTGGACAAAAAAGCTGTGGTACATTTATACCATGGAATACTATGCAGCAGTAAAAAAGAAGAATCTCTTACCCTTTGAGACAGCATG